CTGAGTATCTTTTTTGGTGAGGTGTCTATTAAGGTCTTTGGTTCATTTTTTAATCAGGTGCTTGCTTTCTTGTTGTTTTAACAGTTCTTCATATATTTTGGATAATAGCCCTTTATTGGATGTGTCTTTTGCAAATATTTTCTCCTTTGAAATGCTTTTTAAATTTTGAAGGGAAGTGTCTTTATTAAAGAAGAAATGTCCAGAGGGATGGTGATGATGTTAGTGTTGCAATGTAGACAAATTACATATGTACATACTGATTTTGTGTCATATGTAGCTTGATATAATGATCTATATCACATTCTCTTCCTCTCTCACAGAGTTGGGGAAGGTACTTACCTAGGATTTTGTTGCTTCAGTGCAGGTGGATAGTTTCTTGGACTGTATACCTCGAGCTCAATATTCTCTTTTCAGTTTCAGACCTGTTCTCTCTCTCCAGCTCACGGTCCACAAGAACATCACATTCAAAATCACCACAGGCACACAGTCACCTTCGATTGCTCCTTCTGCACCTTCTATATCTAAGGAGCCACTATATTCTATCACTTTTATTTCCAAACTCTCTTCTTATAGCTGACTTAGAATTTACATTCCCTTTATCATTGCCTTAGTCCACGTTTTGTAAACAACGCCACCCAATAGAAATAAAATGTGAGTCACATTCGCAAAGGAGATTTTCTTAACCTTAAAAAGGGTCAAAAATAGGTAAAATTATTTTAACAATATTCATTTATGCCAATATAGTATAATTTCAATATGCAATCAATATTCTTAATGAGATAACATTTTGCATGTGTTAGATCTTTTATGCTTACAGCACATCTCAAGATTAGCCATATTTCAAGTGCCGCATTGTTACTATATTGAGCAGTGACGTTCAGACCAACTGGCCTTCCTCTTTATATTCTATTGTCCCCAAGGTTGAGTCTACAATATAATCATGTCTCTTCCCTCCTTAGTGCCCTCTGTTGGTGGGTCAGCATTTGCATGTAGGAAAAAATCCAATTTCCTTAGCATTCATATTTCCATTCAGTGTTTTTTGAGGGCCCCCATTCCAGGATTCCCCCAGCACAAGGTAGATATGCTCTTTGCTCCTGAGGCATTTCATTCTAATGGGAATGGAAGGACCTCAGAAGCCTGGTATTCAGCCCTTCCTTGTATGAGCTGGGCTCACCTTGTGATTTCCCAAAGATGATAATAAAGATTTAACGGGCATTTCTTATATGCTCGGTGCTACGCTAGGTGCTCTCATTTCATTTTCATTGCAAATCCTGGAGGAGAGTACCGCTATTTAGCCCCAATTTCCAGTTTCAGAAAGGAGGCCGGCAAGGTGAGGTATCCTGCTGAAAGACAGCTACCAAAGGGGAGCAGCCCAGGCAGTCAGTAATCCCTCTAGACCTGGAATGCTGTTCACCATTGGGCTACCCTGCCTCTTTAGGTGATCTTGCTATTCCCTGTGCTTGTAATATTCTTTTCCCTTCCTCCTTCCCCTCCGCTATATATCTGATGAAGTTATATCATTATCTTTTATGTCTCAGTTAAAATCTACCGTATTTCTCTAGCTTTCCACACACGTTCATATGGGTCGTCTTCCCTCATCTGGCATTGCCATCCCCTACTAGCAAAAGTCATCCTCTGACTGCAATTCCCACAACTGTAGCAGAATTTTATACATTATACTGTTGGTGCTTATATATACCAGGCTTTTCTGCTCTGAACTCCATGAAATTAGGGACCAGATCTGGTTTTTTTTTTGTTTTAATGTTTTCAAAATTATCTATAGGACTGGCTATTGAAATAAAGAAAAACAATTTTTTCATTTATTTTGTTACAATTTTCTTTTTGCCTTTTCTCCCTTGAGGCTGCCTTCGGTGCTCTTATGAGCACTATTCCAAGGATTTTAGTTTTTCTTATAGGATCAGATGACTGGGAACATTTAAATTTCAGCTAAGACCAAGAAGAGACAATGAAGAGATACATAATTGTCAAAAGATACTCTGCTAAAGATTAAGGAGAGTTCCAGGCTTTTTGTGATGACAAAGAAGCTGCTATTTGTCTTTACAAAATAGGCCCTCGGTCATATAGAACTGCAGGGGAAGATTATTCACTCCGCAGAATGAGGATCTTGCCAAGAAGTTGTATCCACCCCTGCTAGTATTACCTACTGTTCCAGAAACCCAGGAAGTGTCCTCAATTTGGGATACAACTAAATGTCATTAATTTTGGGTGCCACAAGTTGCTTGTTGGTGATGAATTTAGGTTCACATTCCTCTTTGGTTAGCAAATGTCTTCCTGTGCTACATTTCCGATGAATATTTAAAATACTTAAGAGAATGGTTTCCCTTTCATCCTCTTGGATGTTTCATAACTTTCCCCATTTGCATGAAAGCCATTAAACACCTTCTTTCCTCACTACACCCATCACCTCAGGATGAACTCTGGCTGAGCCTGAATGAAGTGGGCAATTGAAAATAATAATTTCTATTATTCAGACCTTTACTCCATTCTTTTTCTAGCAGGTGGAATGCAGTGAGGGGTGGGAGAAACGCATGGCCGCACAAAAGTCTCTCAAAAAATAATTGGGAGGGTCTCCCCTGGTGGCACAGCGGTTGAGCTCTGGGCTGCGAGGCTCCCCGCAGCCTCTGCAGCGCCCGTTCGTTCCCCGGTGTTCCTGGCCGCCAGCGAGTGTCCCACCAAAAAAAATAAATAAAAAATAATTTAAAAAAAATTGGGAACTAAATAAACTAACTGGTTCATTTTTTAATTTTTGCACTACTATGGTTGCCCCAGCACACATATTTAAGCCTTTCTTCAAGGTGACTGCTTAGTTCTTTCAACTGGCACCAAGGGCCATGGCCCCCGTTTTGTTCCTGTTTCTATTTTGGCACAAGTAATTGGTGCTTTAAGCAGCTTTAGGACACATTTAGAAAATGATGGCTTCTACCTTCTCCATATTGTTGTCATTCTTATTTTATCTTTTCTTCCTTTTCCCTTAATGTTGTTCAACTTTCTCTAGTCAGGCATTAGAATGGTACCCTTCAGCAGTTTCGCTAAAGAGGACTTAAAACTAGTTATCTCTGTAAACCTCAGCTTCCTTGTCTGTAAAATGGGTTAAGTATATTTCACAATATTTTTCTTAGGGGACCATTTTTCCTGCCCCCATTTACAAGCAAGCACCTTGGGCAAGCTACTGCAAAGGAGGGGTGAGTGGCCCAGTGAAGCCATGTGACAATGAAGGCAGGTGGGCTGGGGGCTCTTGTTTCCATGGCCCGGCCTCTACCCTGGTACTACTGGGAATGAGACTTGGAGGCAACTCCTGGAGGAGAGACATGTAGAGACACTGTAAAGAGACACGTGGGTGTGAGACATGTGGGAAGGCTGTCCTTGTCAGAGACAATAGCAGCTGTTATCTTGATTTGTACTTTTATTTGGCTCTTATTGTCCCAGCTTGTCTGGCCCCATTCGCCTCTTTCTTGTGTGTTTCTGTCAGAAGTTACCTTAGGTTTGTGGCAAGTTTTTGGGCTTTCGTGGCCTGCTTTGGGCTGACCCTGTTTAGCTGGGCATTTGCCCACGAGGGGACGGATAATTTTAGATGTTTTATTGGGAAACTATTAGTAATATCCTCTCCTCTCTTCCTGCTCCATGCACACTAATTCTATTAAGATCTTTCACACTAAGAGCCTGCTTTGCTTTTGTGCATACAGATGGCCAGATCCTTTTCGAGCAAGCGATTTGGGGGGTCCTGAGTAACCCTCTGTTGTTTGCTAGCCTTTTGAGAATTAGAATTGAAGCATGTTTGCAAAATATCACAGTCACCAATTACAGGCCTCTCTAAATGGTAGTTATTAATAGAAGCACATCTATGCAAGTAAGTGAATGATGTGTACCAGCCTCAGGTAACTCTCTTGGAAATTTCGAACAGACGGGAATTAGGACCCACACCACGAAGTCATTCAGCATCCTAGCTATTTCTGACAAAGGGCTTTACTACCATTCTACCGGACCTGGATAGACTGGACAATGGTGCCTATACTAAGCATGCTACATGCCAGGCACGTTTGTGGATAGATTTCACCTAATCCTTGTGTGGCAGGTCCTGTGCAGCAGCATCTCAAGTTACAGATGCCGCTATTTCAGAGGCGCTCCATAGGGTGGCCTCTCAAGACTGTGGGCGCCTCCGTGGTGCCCCGCCGGTGGGGACCAAGCACAGGAGAACACCAGGGCCGGGGCACCCTCTTTCCCAGGCCAAGTTGGGGTTCATCCTACTGAACCGAGACAAAAGCTTGCGGGAGTCCTGAGACCCGTTAGTTCCCTGGGAGTTGCAGAAGGCGCCCCACAGGAGGGTGCCACTCCCCTCCCGTCGCTAAAGAACGCGGTTAGGATCTGGGGGTGGCGGTGACCCCCACCCCACTTCCGAGCTCCCGGGGACTCTCCGACTCGAAAAACTAGTTAGACGATTAAGATTAAGGTCAGTTAAGATTTTACAAAGAGGGGCGGGGCCTCCTGAGGTGGGCTCTGGGGAGGGGGGGGGCCAGGCGGAACCCCGCGAGGCGCCGATTGGCTGGCACAAGTGCCCATCCCGCTCCCCTCCCGCCCCACCTCGGGGAGGCCCGGCGGCGGGGCCGGCGGGCGGCGGGGCCCGCGGGGCGCAGGCGGCGGGGGGCGTGCCGCGCGGGGGCGGGGCGGGGGCGGGGCGGGGCGGAGCGGGGCCCCGGCGCGGCGCGTCACGGCCTCCGGCCCCGCCCCCGGGCCCGACGCGCTCGCTCTTCCTCCCCCGCCCGGCGCGGCGGCTCGCTCAGTCCTCGCTCCACGTTCCACGCCGCGGCCTCGCTCCCCGGCGAGAGCCCGTCCCGCGGCCGCCGCGCGCACCCGCGCGCCCCGCGCCCCCCGCGCCGGCTCCCCCCGCGCGCGCTCGGCGCGCTCGGGCGCACGTTCGTTTCCCCGCGCGCGCCGGGTCTCGGCGGCGGCGGCGGCGGGCGAGCGCGCGTGGCAGCACCGTAGCGGCCGCCGCGGGCTGCCGGCGGGCCATGGAGGCGGACGGGGCCGGCGAGCAGATGAGACCGCTACTCACCCGGGTAACTAGCGGGGCGCGGCCGCCGCGGCGCGGGGCTTCCCGGCCCGGGGTGGGCGCGGAGCGCGGCAGACAAAGGCGGCAGCGCGGCGGGCGTCGCGGTCCGGCCACCCCGTCCCGGGCCCGGCGCCCCTCGGCCGCCCGGCGCGCCTCGCCGGCCCCTTTGTGTGGCCGCCCGGGGCGCGGGGGCGCGGGGCGGGAGGCGCGGCGCCGGGAGGCCCGAGCCGGGGCGGCCGGCAGCACCCCCCGCCCGTCCTCGCCACCCGCATCCCCGGCCCGGCCGCGGCGAGACCCCGCATCCCCGCCAGGGCCGCCGGCGCGTCCCCCGGACCTCGCCGCCCTTCCCTCCGCGCCGCTCGGCCCCGTCTCCCGGGCGTGCGCCCCTCCCGGGTCTCGCTGGCGATCGCCCTGGCGCCGGAGCGCAGGTTGACCCTGGAGAACCCATCTTCCTTCTCCCTCGAAGGAGCGCGGCTCCACCTGCCTCTAGCCCCGGGCGGTGGTGAAGAACCGGGGCGACTCTTTGGCCGCCTCTCCGGTCTCCCCGCCGGGCCCGCGGTGCGCTTTGTTCGGTGAGTTCTCCGGCCGCGTGGACGAGTCGCTGGCCCTGGCGGCCGGGGCTGCTCGTCGCCGCCCGCCGCCTCCTTGGCGAGCGCCGGGGAGTCCCCCGGGCTGCGCCCTGGGCGCGCCGAGGAAGACTGGCGTCCCGCGCTGCCCCTTACTGCGCCCCGCGAGACCGCGCTCCCCGGCGCGCCCGGCGGGGGCTTCGGGGTCTGCGGACGGCGGGGCTGGACCCCGACGGCCGGGGCTTCCCCTTTCGGATGCGGTGGGGCGGCCCGCGCGCCCGGCGCCGACTTCCTGCTCTCAGCCCCGGCGCATGTGCCCCCCGCCGCCGGGTCCCCGCCTCGGGGCCGGGAGCTGCGGCGCGTTTTCCTACTTGCAGGTCTTACCCCGGCCCGCGAGGGAGGGAAGGTTGCAGGGAAAATTTTCCAGGCTTTCACAGCTAGCAGGAAGATGGCTTTTCGTGTGTCTTATTCAAGAGTTCTCCTTAAACCTCTTCTCCTCTCGTTCCCCACCTTTTTCCAGGCCCTGGAGAGTTGTCGTTCGTGATTTTAGTGGGCTACCTGTAAATCCTCAAAACGTGGAGACAAGCTGAGTCTTCAGACAGTGAAATCAGCTAGCGGTGGTCTGAGGGAAGGGCATTCACAGGGGTGGTAGTGGGATCCTGGAAATCGGTCCCTGTTAAGGCATCTTTGTGTAGTTCTTTGTGTGGCCTTGGTTTGGGATGTGTTTCTCAGTACTTTCTCTACTGGGGTGTTTCAAATACAGGGTTGTCTGTTCTTAATTTGCATTTTTTTGCACATTTTCAGTTCAGAGTAGTAAAGAACATTATCTTGTGGATAGAGACTAGGATGTGTTCTCAAATACTACGTATTTAGCTGCTGGAAGCATCTAATGCCACTGCCTTGCAAATAACTCATTCATTCATTGTAAGAACACTGAGAAGCTATTCGGTAGTAGCCACCAAGATAGAACCAGCTCTGCTCTAATAGATTCGCATTCACGTGAGGGAGACTCTGGTTAATGGTGTGGCAGAGGAGGACTCCGGGACGGAATAGCTCCTACATCATTTGGAAGAGAAGTCTTGGCTATAGTAAACATATACAAATCAATGATAGAAATCAGATACAACAAGCTATCATACAGCCTAAAAATAGACTGAGAACAGGAAAACTTGGTTTAAGCTGTTTCAGAGAATACTGACTTGAAAACTGGGGAGAGGAACTCTTACCATTGACAAAGTTAAATCTTTCCTCACCAATTTTGCTCGGTAAATAAAGTAATAAAAACGGAAGATTGTGATACTCATCAGCCGTAAGTTCTCTTAATTCACAGCCAACCGCTTAGAATAGCCAAAAAAGTGGAATACAATTAACACTCATCAAATATTACCTTATGTAGTTATGCAAAAGTGTTTGGATAAATTGGGGGCATTTTATATTTCTTTGGGATGAGAGCCCATGCAGTTCAAAATTTAGACTCTTGAAGGTTCTTCTCCTAAGTTGTGGAATTTTCGTCGATCGTGGTTTTGGGATGGAGAGATAAAAGTCAGTTACTTCATGAAAATTGTAAATGTCAGTAATACTTTTTAAAATGTAGATGCTAACTAAATGAAAGGGATTAACAATCCAGGATGAATTCAGGGGTGGCTTGCCAAGAGAGTGTCGGTAGGCCTGTCAGTAGGCATTCATTGTGTTAGGGGATCTGTGGTTAGGTGTTGACAACTCTAGAAGGGATTTGCACCTCAGGTATATATTAGGAGCATTGCAGTTACTTTCTTGCTTTTGGTATCTCTGGGCTACACAGTCCATGGAGTTGTAGTAAAGGCAGAGGCAGGCAGGCCTGTCTGTCCATGTGAAACTGTAGGACAGTTGAGTTGGACTGAAGAATTGTTTTATTTGATAATTGAGACTGGGGAGTACACAGGTTTTCTCCTAGGAGAGCTTCTGGTATGAAATTGGAGTATTTTGTTATGGCAGACTCCTGTTACTTGAGTAGGTGAAAACCGAAAGCCAGAGCAATCTAGTGTTGAAGGAACCGGGTATATTTGTTAGTGGTATGTGGTATACTAACCTATATATTCTAAAACTTTGGTAGTTATGCTTGTCAACATCCTGTAATGGGTTGTTTTTCTTCCTCTTTCCTTCCCCTTCTTTCTTACTGTATTTTACCACAGATAGGGTGGTAAAGCAGAGAGGATCTGCAACTGACAAAATGGGCCAGTTCTATAAAGGAGCATGCAGGTGCTTCTTGCGGCTGATGTTATACATTAATCAGTGTTGATTTTGATTTATAACATAGCTTCCTTTTATTGATTATTCTGTAGTTATTACTTTTATACTTACAGTATTTTCACTTTTGCAATAAGCACTTATCAGTGGTAATGATCAAGGGGCACTTAACCCCCTCTGTTAGCTCCCCTTTTGAGCCAAGAAAATTGTTACTCCTTTGCAGAGCAGGTAGGTATTCCAACATGCTAGCTCACAGTGATGACTGGCTCTGTGTTTAATAGACAACTTCTTGTATTTAGTTGAGTGATACTCACTGAATCTTACTACTTAAGGAGACTTTCGGATTATTGGTAATCAGTAATAAACCATGAATGTTGGCGTAGTGTGGTTTTTTTTTTAAAGATTTATTTATTTATACAAGAGATGGGGTACAGGCCAGAGGCGTGGGAGGGTGAGGGGTTTCACCAGAGATAGAGTAGGGAACAGAACAGGCAGACTGATGGAAATACACTGGTGAGGGGAGCAGCGGGCGAGTCATTGCTGCACCGTTGGGTCAGCTCCCAACGGTGGCCAGGAATTGAACCCGCGCTGCAGAGGCTTCAAACAGCTTCATAGCGCTACGCTCAACCCGCTGCACCACTGGGGAGGCCCCATAGTGTTATGACAGTATTTGTAGTGCTGCTGTCTTCCTAAGGGCAGAGGACCAGCAGAGTTGAACAGTGCTAAATTTCTGTTTCCATGGGCATTTTTAAATGACAGCTCTAAAATGAGAGGGGCCAACACTTAGTGCTTGGTTTAGAAGACAACGTGATTGTAACATAGGTTTACATTTTTACCTGCCAGTACAGAAAGGTTCTAGCTTGTTTCTTTCAAGCATATTTTTTTTTTTTTTATAAATTTTATTGTTATATTCCCCATACAATTGCAGCCCCCCCATTCTGACCCCAATCCCTCCCTCCCGCCCCCGCCCCCCTAAAAGTGTCTCTGGTTCATAGTTTTTTGTTGATTTTGATTTTCACTTTCTTATAGTTATTCATTTTCCTGGTCCCTTATTTAAGTTTTCTAGATTCCTGCTATGAGTGAGACCATCCGGTATTTTTCTTTTTCTTTTTGGCTTATTTCGCTGAGCATGATCCCTTCCAGCGCCATCCATGTTGCTGCAAATTGCATGTGTTTATCTTTTTTGAATGCTGAGTAATATTCCATGGTATATATGTACCACATCTTCTTGATCCAGTCATCTATTTTTGGGCATTTGGGTTGTTTCCAAAGCTTAGCTATTGTAAACAGTGCTGCTATAAACATAGGGGTGCAGGTGTTCTTTGGAATTGATGTTTCTGTGTCCTTTGGGTAAATACCTAGGAGTGGAATTGCTGGATCATATGGAAGCTCTATGTTTAGTAGGTCCAGAAATCTCCACACAGCTCTCCACAGTGGTTGGACCAGTTTGCACTCCCACCAACAGTGCAGAAGAGTTCCTTTTTCTCCACACCCTCGCCAGCATTTGTTGTTGCTAGTTTTTTTAATATGTGCCATGCTCACTGGTGTAAGATGGTATCTCATGGTAGTTTTGATTTGCATTTCCCTGATTACAAGTGATGTTGAACATTTTTTCATATGCCTGTTGGCCATTTGCATTTCCTCTTCAGAGAAGTTTCTTTTTAGCTCTTCTGCCCATTTTTTGACTGGATTATTTTCTTTGTTGTTGCTGAGTCTCATCAGCTCTTTGCAGATTTTTGTGATCAGTCCTTTATCATTAGTGTTGGGTGCAAAAATGTTCTCCCAGTTGGTGGGGTTTCTCTTTGTTTTTGTTATTGTCTCTTTTGCTGTGCAGAAGCTCTTTAATTTGATGTAGTCCCAGCTGTTTATCTTTGCCTTCACTATCACTGCTTTGGGTGATGTGTCTGTAAAGATGTCTTTGATATGCAGATCACGTAGTGTTTCGCCTATATTTCCTTCTATATATTTTATGGTTTCAGGTCTTATGTCTAGTTCTTTAATCCATTTTGAGTTGATTTTTGTGTATGGTGTGAGGTAGTGGTCAAGCTTCATTCTTTTGCATGTAGCGACCCAGTTTTCCCAGCACCATTTATTGAACAAACTTTCTTTGCTCCAATGCATAGTCTTTGCTCCTTTGTCAAAGATTAGTTGACCATAAATCTGTGGATTTATTTCTGGATTTTCTATTCGATTCCATTGGTCTGTATGTCTGTTC